TGACAGAAACTGTCCCCCAAATATAAAGGTGCCTTCCATGTCCGATTGACATGCCTTGCCAGGAACCTTCTCTAGACATTTCCCATTGTTTTCGTGGAACCGATTTCCAAATGGCACCTTCCTTTGAGGCACCACCGCAGAAAGGCGGATACCTCACGTTTTAAACTGGTCAGGACAACTCTCTGGTGGAAGAAGAATGTGTTTGCCAGTGTGTTTCAATTGCTATCAGTTGATGGGCCATTTATATCATTCATTTATTTTTAATTTTTATTATTCTTAAATTTATATGCCGCCCATCTCCCCCAGAGGGAGACTCTGGGCAGCTCACAATTAAAATCAAACAACAAAAACAGTAAACAGTACTGCTTTACTTGGCATAGCCAAGATTACACACTCTTCCTGAAGGCCATGAAAGTGGGGGCACACCACACATCAGGTGGTAAGTTGCTCCACGGGTGGGGGCCACGGCAGAAAAGGCCCTCTTCCTAGACCCCGCCAGTTGAAATTTCTTGACTGGTAGGGTCTGCAACATGCCCCTTCTGCCGGACTGAGTGGGGCAGCCTGATATAACGGGGGCAAGACGGCTCCTCCGATAACCTGGTCCTGTGCCATGAAGGGTTTTAAAAGCAACAACCGACACCTTGAATTGGACCCGGAAGCAAACCAGCAAGCAACGCAGCCTGCATAACAGGTGTTCTATGTGCCTCTGGGGGCATTCAAAACTGCCGGTGCTGCACCATTTTCTACCAGCTGTAGCTTCTGGATACTCTTCAAGGGTAGCCCCATGCAGAGTAGTAATCCATAATACCAGTGTTACTGTTTATTTTCAATTAAAACATCTTTATCCCATGGTCTCTGAATGGGATCTAAAAAGTAGTCGACCTGGATAACAAAAACAGTTAAACACAGGATCTCAAGGCATAATATCCACATGAAAAATAGACTTAAAACATGCAAGTTCCTCATTTTCTGATGGTAATTAGGACCAGGAACAACATCACTAAGAAACGCCCTTGTAAGGCGCAATGCCACGTGACCGTGCCGACTTATGACGGCAGTTCTGGTGGTCACAGTTGGTGCCATGACGTAAATCCAAACATGGTTGCAGCGTCCCGTGGTCACTCAATCCCCATTTGTGACCTCTTCCCGGCTTCCCCATTGACTTTCCTTGTCGGAAGCTGGCAGTGAAGGTCGCAAATAATGATCATGTGGACAGGGGATGCTGCGACCATCATAATTGTGACTCAGTTGCCAAGCAGCCACATCATGTCCACATGACTGTGGGGACCGTTGCAACTACAAGGATTAGTCATAAGTCCCCCTCATTCAGCACCATCATAACTTCAAACAGTCGCTGAACAGGTGGAC